ATATATATATATATATGTGTATAAAGTTTTCAGTCTCATAGTAACGGCAATTCCATTTGGTGTTTGGTCTTCCATCGAACTCTCTGCATATACTGCATTAATTAATACGACTCGTATTAATTTCGCAATTCTCTCAAAAATTATATACAACGCGTACAAGGAGATAATAATTAGTAGGCAGTGCTGATTCAGCGATTCTCGACAAATCTCCGGAATCTCTCTTACTGCATCTTCTTCTTTTTGTCCTTATAAGAATTTTCTTGACTAGATGCTGTTGTTCTTTCTCGCTCGTTTCGCGATTCCGAACGCGATTCAACCGATATAGCAGCCGCCTGACAGGCAACGTGATGAAACAATAATCAATTACGTTTCAAAGTGCTTGTAAATGCTGGTCACGTATGTCATGACTTGTTGCCAATCAGGTCGCTCGAGTTGACACATTTCGCCGATGTTCTGTGAAAAGAATAATTTCTCTAATTATAACCAGTTTAATTGCTGATGACTAGATCGAGAAATTTCTTTCATAGGAAGATATACTCGTATGACAACAAATGGCATGCCCGAAATTTTATATCCTATTATATAAACAATTTTAATTTGTGAGTCATATTTTGTGAAACTTTTGTGATTCAAGAATAATCTATTAGTCAACTTACCAAGGTGGTAGGTATGCCAACACTCTCGGCAGCAGAAAAGGCGATCGAAAAGTTCCGTCGTTTTTCCGCCGGCGTCAATGTGTCGTACGGCACCTTTCGCGGCAGATAGGAGTGCAAAATTGCGCACAATGCTAGGCCATCATTCCAGGAACTGCTGAAGTTAGTTATATCGATATTACGGTAGCCTGCTGTCTTATTTTGACACCATTTGAGCAAGGCATTGCGCTTGGACCCGCCGTTTTTCACTAAGCCGCACAGGGGATCCTTGCGCTCTGACAGATCGGTGACGCTGTTTCGACGGACGAAATCAATCGCCTTGGCATTCAAAGCGGCTGAATCCAACAATTCGCCCGGACTCAAAACTACAGGCGTTGACTTTGACTCTGCGCACCAACAAATCAAAGCACGCGATTAAATCATGAAGAACAGAAATTCTTCCCAAAGTGCGTAAATCATTATATGATTATTTCGTATCATACAAAATTTCATATTTCAGATTTGTGCGATTTTAATTGAAAATTACCTGATACCGGTTTCTTCGTGATTGTAGATTGTGTTTTGTTATTATTTGTCGAATTGGCCGTACAGATCAGATTGTTGATTTGCTGTTGGTCCCTAAGAGGAGCTTTTAAGGATATAATATCCGTAGTTCCAATCGAATTTAGAGAGGACGTAGAACTGCTACGACTTCCAGATGCTACAATATAGACAAGTCGATTCTTTTATTTCTTCGATTTATATTTTCAAAATATTATATATCAAGTTTCAAAACTAAATATTATTTTATCTATATTATTTAATATCATTATTTCAAGTAAATGGCATTACAAATACATATTAGCAACTATTAACGTATTAATGTTATAGTATACTATGTTTACCGGCTTTTTGTTTCGTGGAGTTTTCGATACTCTCAATCAAACATTTTACGGAAAGTCTCGAGTCTTGACGAGAAATATTGGCCTTCCTACGAGCTGCGATCTCCTGTTGCACGCTCGTTAGCACGGATTGTTGGGTTTCTGTTGGTGTGCTGACTGGTCTCGTAGGCGGTTGTTGTATCACTTTTTGATTAGCTAAAAGATTTTCAAGTACTCATTAATGCTTGTTTAATAAATTGTCATCTGAGTAATTTCAAACAAGTAATAAAAGCGTCAAGCCATAAATATCGTAAAATAAAGCACAGATAATTAATAATAAAAATTTGATAAAAAAATAATTTTGAAAGTCTTTTTTACGATGGAAGATGGCACGTTTGTACAAATTAATTTAATAATGAGAGAGTGATTTCATGATAGAAACATAAATAAGCGAGTATATATCATAGCGTGTAAAGATATCAAGAAGTTAAGAAACACAAAGAAAGGACGACAATTAACCAGGGGACAACATGAGTACAATGTAGATGCTAGTGATGCGAAGCCTCGTAGCCTGCTTCGCCTAGATTGAGGAGACGGACAACAGGCCGAATTTTTGCGATGCAAGCGATTCCCACATTAAGAGAGCGACTTACGGTCGCAAGACTCGCTTATCTGCGGGCGCCGTCCCGACGGCATTCTCAATTCCACGTCCTCTATGATCGTCTCAAACTTTTCTCTCAAGGATGACGTTAGTCCAATCGGTGGGGCTTGATTCCCCGTGTCCGCGTTTCTTCGCGACATTTTAGATTCTTCGCACGTTGTGTGAAGTTTACTTTCAGAGGGAATCGCTTTCTCGATCTCAGAATCGTTCTTGTCTGCGTTGGTCTGTAGGCTATCTTGTAGAAACTTCATGCGAGTCAATCGATTCGTCTCATTCGAATTTGGACACGTTGATTCTTGTAACTCCTCACTACATGTCGAGGATTCGGTTTGTTTTTCCTGATTGATGGAGGAATAGGTTAATGATTCCGAGATCTTCGTTTCTTTCTCTAAATTAATATTTAAAATACTTCTCGATATGTTTGATAAAGTAACCGATGAAGGATATCTTGATTTATATTCAATTTTTGAGGGTGTTAACAGCGGATACGATTTCCGTCTTATTAGAGAAACACTTGATGTAGATTCGCAAGAATTTTTACTTTTTTACATTCGGTACTTACGTTCTTTGTAGATTTTGGCGATGTTATATCAACTTCAATATTTTCATCAGACAAACTAGATATTTTGGATTCTGCAAGCGTATCAAAAACTTTTCCACTCTCTGACATAGATGCATCGAAATGCAGAGGTTCTGTCACAATTTGATCATTATCAATAATCACGTGCTTTGCTGTCCATAACTGATTATTACATAGAGTTTCTTCTTTCAAAGCTTCATTTTTTAAAGAAGACGTTTCTGATGGGGATCCATGATTCTCAAATCTCGTTTCTTGTAACTTTTCCTCCTCTTCATCACTCAGTTTATTTAATAATTCGGTACAATTTTCGGTTTGTAATTCTACAGATGTTTTTGATTTCGAAGTTTCGTTCAAGACAGAGTCGTCGATCCCACAGCTTGATTTTGACTCAGGCTTTTTCAAAAATAGCCCTTGCCTTTGCTCAGCCTTATCGCTTTCCTTTAATCTTAAATATACAGATGAAGAATCTGAGTGCGCTCTTATATGCCTGAAGTCTTTGTTTGCGCCTTGTTTTATCAAGTCGTTCGACACAGTCAAAGTATCTGTTGTTCTTGTTGTATTATTTATAGACAGACTGGCTTCAACTAGATTAGGCAAGCTCATGTTGGTTTTCGGACTGCTGTAACTTCTTTGTAACAGCTTTCCCATTTCCGGATCGACCTCGAACTTGAGATCATTCATTGCGCTCTCTATGTCAGAATATATATAATCCTTCGGTACAAAAAATCGACTGTTCGAAATGTTAATGCCGTACATATTTCCATTGGCATTCTGAATACTGCGTATACTTTTTAATAAGGAACTCTTAGCCATTGTATTTTTTTCAGACTTTTTATCAGACTTGTCTGTGACAGTAATGTATAGTTTTGGATAATCTTCTATTATCGGAGATTTATTGATTGGATTATGAGAAATCGTATCTGATTCGGAATTGTTTAAATAAAACTTCGATGATTCATTTCTTGAAAATTCCGATGGTTTCTCATTATCTAAACACTCAGCCGCTTCGTCTGTGACGCATTCGATATGCTGGCTGCCGGTACGAAAGGCGGGACAAAATTCAATCTCCTCGCCGGAAATCAATTTGTCCTCTAATTTGATAGCTTCCTTGAGTGTTGACGCGCCGCCTATGGTAGCCGGATTATTATTCGGCAAATCAAGTCTGTTTTGATTCGCGATATTGGCGTCCTCAAGCGCTTTATGCGAATCCCAGCCGTTCGTCGTGGCTTTCAACAAGCTATTTCGTAATGCGTGTTTTCTCGAGTCATAACGCTTCTTTAAAATCATCCGACCACGCTTTAGTATAACACTCGCCATTTTCTCTTTAGCGACATCAAGTGTCTTGCAGGAATTCACTACAGTGCTATCTAGTACGCAGTCCGATTGAGGAAAAAAGGAACAATTACGAAATTAATAAAACAAATATGCATATAAAATAAATTACGAGAAGAATTAATGTTTGCGACAAATTGATTTCGTTCCAATAAGAAATATTCTTTTTCCGATATTTACTAAAAAAAACTTTTCTTTTTAACAGAGAATATTATATGTTAGTATATATATCTTTTAAGTGTTTTTAAGTGTTTTAAGTGTTTTTCAAATGTTATCAATATACAAACTAGATTTCTAAATCTTGATGATTCGTCACGTACCATGTTATATTATCACATAATATATCACATAATGGTTTAAGAAAACTCGACAGTTTTCGTTTGCTTACCTTTGTTAAGCTTATCGAGTTGTGCTTCCAGTGCTCTCAGCTTATCTCTTTGCGCCTTGTTTTCCATGACTACGCGTTCCAACTCGCTTTGAGCCTCGGTCTTGAAATCGTTGGCAACTCGTACGGTCATCAACAAGTCCGTTTGAAACTGCTCCCATTCCGCACTCTCCTCCTGCCGCAGTTTACGTTCATCGGCCAACGCACGTTCAAGCTCATATTGATGCATTTGAGCCTCGCGTTCTCTTCGTTGTGCTTCACTTAGCGCGGCTTTCAGCTCCCGTTTGTCCTCCAGATGCCGTTGACACTGTGTTTGCAATTCTGCCAGAGAATCCCGGACAAGTTGCAGTTCTGTGCTCACCGATAATCGTTCATCCTTCAATTGATTCAATCTGTACTCCAAATCATCAATGGCAGACTTCGCGTTATTTCGGGATACCTGAAAATCAATTTGTATAGAAGTAATTCTCTTTATTATTTATACAAAAAGTTTACTCAGATATTTTTACGGTTAAAAAAATTAATCGATCGCGATTGTTCAAAAAATTAATTTTTAAAATTTAATGTCTATTATATACATATAGAGAGTAACTTTTCGTACTTTATATTCTTCCTGAAGTTGCGAATATTGATCTCTCAATCGATCGTGGTCGCAATGCGAACGCGCCAACTGTTCCTGTAATGCCGCCGCTTGCGTTTCAAGCGTGTCCTTCTCCCGCCTAGCTGCGTCTAACAATTCGTCCGCCTCACTTTTGTTTTCCAGCTGCCTTGATTGTTCCAATTCCTCGATCTTTGCTCGTGCATTCTCCAATAGAGTCGCTAATCTACTAATCTCTATACTACGATTCGCGCCTTCTTGTCTGGCTTCCGCCAGTTCCATATCAAGTTGCTTTCGTTCGATGTTCGCGGAGTCCACTGAAGCCTCCAGTAATTCGACACATTTCGTCAGACGCTCAGTCTCTGCCGCACTTGCGTCAGCAGTCGCTCTCAGACTCTTCAGTTCGCTGATCAACTCTTCCTGCTTCTGAAGTAGAGTCTCTCGTTCTTCTTGTGCACTCTGCAACCGTATAAATAATTACATTAGTAATTGATAGACATTTCACGTTTATATGTATACATTTAGATGCACTCACTTTCAAGAGATCTACTAATTTCTGCTCTCTTTCAGTATTATAACCTTTGGACGCTTCCTGCGGTTGCTCTTCTCTTAAAAGCAATCCCTGTAAAGTGTCTACCTTAGATCGAGAGTCTTCTAACTTCTCTGTCTGACGGCACAGTGACTCCAACAGAACTCCCTTCTCCTCAGTCAGCCTATCATTATCCGCTTGCAATTCTGTCAGTTGCGCCTGTGGGATTAGCATTTATTTATTAAGTAATTGATATTTTCATTATTATATAATATCTTCTTGAGTATTAATGAAGAAACGATACCTGTAAGTCACTTAATTCCTGAATAGTCGCCTGTAATTCTTCGTTTGTGGAATAATGAGTTTCCTCCATCTGTAAGATCCTGTCCTGCAAGCACGCCACCGAAACCTCGGACATCGAGCTGGAAGAGTGCTTGTCCCAGTCGGGAGTAGTGCATTGAGCTCCTTCCTGGGGTGTACTGGTGATATGTGCAGAACCATCGTCCTGTGGAATGGCGATGGAGGCTGGTGCAGAATTATGGAGTCTCGAGGCATCTAGCAACAGTTGCTGTTTCTCCGAATCTGACAATGGAGAATGTGCCACGTCCCTGAGACGAGCACGAAGGGCTTCGTTTTCCTCAGTAAGACGTTCTAGCTCCAAACTATGCTGCTCCTATTCAAAGAAACAAATATATATATATACAAATCACTGATTGATAACATGCATTAGAACAATGACAGGACAATCTTAAAATGACAAATGTAACATTTCAAATTAAAATTAAGTCTCAATGTATCTAAACAGAAACAATATCATTCTATACTAATGTAATTATTTAATTACTATTATAAACAAAACAAGTTTAAGTTATATTTGTATCGGGACCTTGCCGTACTTAGGAGGCTGTACAAACACTCTGAAAAGAGTGGCTGATGAAAAGCATTGGAGAAACAATAATAGTGAAAGACGTGATACGGCGACGTGACAGAGATGATCGCAATCAAAACATTCGCGTGGCCCTCGTCTCGCTTGAGCAAAAACAGAGGGAACACGCGAGACGCTGTGGAATGACGCGTCTCTCGTAAATATTCGCGCCGATTAGGGCGGGAAAGGGGGAGGTAACACGGCCAATCCGGATTCGAGGTTAGAATCAAACGAGATCCGGACACGGACGGTCGATGAAACGGAGCTCGCGACCGCGACTCACGCCGGCGACCGACGACGAAGATGTCGTCGACGATTCGTGGACTTAGGAATTTACCGTGGGCGACGAGAAGCAACGCTTTTTCATATCGGATCCGCTCGGCCTCCCCGGCTCCTCTTCCTCTATGTAAACATCCCCGCCGCGTTCCACGCCCTCTGGCTCAGTTTTTCGAGCACGCAAAAAACGGCTCTCTCTCTCTCTCTCTCTCTCTCTCTCCCTGCCTCTCTCGCTCTTGCTCTCTCTTCCTCTAATGTTCTAACGGTTACGTCGGTTACACGAGCCCCGGGACTAAAACCGGTAAAATTTCCGCCGAGTTCAGATTCCGACGCCGCGAACAGCCGAAAATGATGACGGCGAGAACGCGATTTATCGCGTCGAATTTCCTCGTTTCCCGCAGCGTCCAAAAATCGCAGCATCCGAAATTACGTAACGGAAAGTGTCCTACGATTAGCAACGATCACTGGGAAAAGGGAGAGTAGCGATAGGAGAGTGCATTCTGTAAGAGAAATTTTGTAGAGCTGTTTCTCGTAGCGAATCTTTGCGCATTGTTTGCCTTTTAGAACGAAACAGGTGTGGCAGAGGAACAATCGCAGAAAAATATAACGATCAGCAGGTCAAAGAGGAATCCCGGAGAAGAAGGGATCACTTTCGCACAGTGTTTCACGTAGTGCCGAGGTAGCAGCAAAGGATTTTTTGAACAATTTTTTTTGTGAAGATGATTTATTTTTCAGGAAAGACACTTTTTGTAGCGAAATTTCTAAGATCGAGAAACATGGCAAGACGCAATTTTCGCAATAGAAAATTATACTCTCGGACGTAGAAATGTCAAAATGGATGAATGTCAGATCAGTTGAAAACTGAAGGAAAAGTCCGGAGGAAAAAAAAAAAAATTGTGGTTTAAGATATCATCGATTCTAAATTGACATGCAAATCAATATATCATCCAATAAATTTCTAAAAGCGGCGAATCTTAGCACCGCTGAAGAGATGCCGCGTATCTCTCACGATCGATCTGTTTAAACGCAATTTAGATGCAAAGCGGATATATTTTTACAGCCGGCCGACGGTCGTCCTCGACCGTACCTTACGTTGTCTTCCTTGTACGGTCACGAACGGAGGGGGGGGGAGGGGGGGACGGCAGCGCAAGTATGCACGTGTGCAGCACGCCAGGTATGACGCGCGTTTAGCGAAAGGGGGGAGGGGGGAACGGAAGGGGAAGGGATTAATGCGAGACGTCAACTGTTGCAGATGAATCAGAGCGGCGATGTGACGCGATATAATTCATTCATCGAGCGCATTTTGCGACGCAGTAAGCAGCAAATGCGACTCGCATATTTTTCAACCGGCGGGGGGAAAACGGAATATCGATGAATGCGTTCGAACGTAGAGCGTAGAAAAGACAGATCTTTGTGTTGCTCGAATAATCACGGCTAAGAATTGAATTAAGAAGTAAGTAGTAAGCTAAGCTAAGCTCTCAATTAACAAGCTTCGAATCTTTTAGGACTAATTATGTTGAATTAATTTAATTTAAATTAAACTATTTAAAAAAAAACTCAAAAAAGTTTTCTATGTTAGTATAATAGAAAAAAATATAATACAAAAGGTGTACTCCTTATTAAATATTTTTCCTTTGTGTAACCTGCTTTCGCTGAATTAATAGGACAATGTGTATCATGTAGATTGATTGATTCAGTAAATTTGAAAACAATTTCAAGAAATTTGAAAAATCAATCACTTTCTTTATTTAATATTAATTTAAATGAAAAGGCAATAAGGAAGAAATATAGAAAGATTTATTGTTCTATTTTTATTAAAATTTCGGTGGTATCAGAAAATTTATTACTTAAAAACGGAGATGTTTACGTATATTAATACATACGACTTTATGGCTTTATGTATATTATATCATGTTGAATAAACAATAAATAACTCCGTATATCCTGTATGTCGAGATAAACGTATCCGAAATAGCGCGCCGAAAGTTGGCTCTGGTTGTACGGCGCGAAACGAGGAGAAGGACGAACGCGTGAGATATTATTACAGAATAATACCGAATTGTATGGAGATATCGGTGGGGGAGAGGAAATACATATTTATACATCAGTCGACCTTTCGCTTCTAATAAGGAAAGAAACTCTTTGAATCTTTCCGTCGTTAGCATGAATTTAAATTTTTATCGTTGGCCCACTTAAATGTGGAATGTGGGAGACGAGATGATATGAGAGAACAAATAAAAACTGTGCATACCCAAATGCCCCGATTGTGTTGCGTTAGAAAAATAATTGTCGAGAAAACAAGGACCACTTTTAATTTCAACGAAAGATAACTCTCGTCGGGAAGGTGTAACCGAAAAGTAACCGAAAGGATATTAGGAAATTGTAGATGTGTGTGTGTGTGTGTGTGTGTGTGTGTGTGTGTGTGTTATACAGGTATTTTGAGAGAAGAAAAGAAATACACGCGATAAGAATAATACGAAACAAAGACGTGAATGGTGATCACGATTGTCACCTTCGGATTATTTTGCCGGATGTCAGTTTCTCAAAAAATAAAAAGATGGAAATATTAGACATAATTAATATTTTTTAATATCGTGTGTACTCTGTCATACGAAAATAAAATAAAAATCTAAAATAAAAATCTATTTTCGAAGATTCCTTCTCCAAATCGCAGGAAAAATCAAAATTGTCATCTTTCTATTACCGTTTAATTAAAAATTCAAAATTTTCAAAATTCAGAACAACTAGCTAGAAATTTGTCCGCCCTCCTCCCCCAAAAAAAGAACTGAAGTTTCTGCTTGAAAAAATGGTAATCATGCACGGAAAGAACACTTTTGCTGGCAAATCTAAAAATTTGATTAGATACAGATCTGAAAATGATTTTGTTAGACCTTCAAAATTATTATATACGATGTTCAAATTGATTGTTAGAAGAGCAAACATTTTTGCAGTATTATCATCATATTTAAGTGTTCTACAAAATAATTTTGATGGGCCAACAAACTTGTGATAGTGTATAGAGCCTTTTTAAAGAAATCACAAGCTGACCAGCTCGTTTGAATACTTGTTTGGCGACTATGCAACATTTAAGTAAGTATTATGTAAGAAACGAGCTAATCGCTGTTCGGTAATCGGAAATTGTTTCTCAATCGGACGGATTTTTCCGATTTTTCGTACGCTTACCTTAAGAAAAGCCAGCTCGGCGCGCAGCTCCCGCAGGGTTTGGGCGTCGGAGGCTGCGTCACGCAGATTCGCCTCGAGACGCGCGCGATCCTTGCGCAGAGCCTCGACCTCGCGCTCCAACTCCTGCATCCTGGAGGCCTTGGTGGGGCCCTTCGACGCCGTCGCCGCTTTGGGCCTGGCCGGCTCCTTGCTGCTCAGGGAGCCGGCCCAGTTCCCAGTCGGCGAAACGTCGCTCTTCGCCTCCAGCGAGGAGGCGCTCGGCACCTGGCGCAGCGTCGCCGATTGCTGCTGTTGCTGTTGCTGTTGCTGCTGCTGCTGCTGCGGCGGCGGCGGCGGTTGCTGCTGCTGCTGTTGCTGCTGGCTGGGCTGTCCTCTGCGAAACAGCGATTTGAACTTCATCATGGTCACTGGACACTGGTCATTCACCACGTAAATCAGACAATCTTGTTTCTCGTAGCACGAGAAGGGGACTCCGGGGGGGGGGGGAGAGAGTTCGAGAAGGAGGAAAAACGCGAAACGAAATAACTCCTTTTTCTTTTCGACCTGAGTTCTCGTTCCTTTCTCGCGAGGAAGCGATTGTAAAGCGTCTACAACCTAGAACGATGCCTTCGCCGTCAACAGACGATAACGCTGTCGACCGTTCCCGTTAGCGAGCGTTTCCAGGACTCGGACGAAGAGGAGAGCAAGAGCGTCGACACGACGACCCTCATCCTGTCCACGTTTCCTCCGGCTATGACGTAACGGACGTAATCGTCGCTAGGTCACGGATACGAGATGCCGGCAGCTATCATGGTACGGCGGAGGCGTTCGATAGCAATTCTGCCTGCCGATTAGACTCTCGCAGAAGGGCACCAAAAGTCAGTATTGCAACGAGAAGACTAAAGGGATCCTTTCACGTCGCAGTGAATGTCGCATGTGCGTCACCGATGAAAAATCAAGTGTTCCTTAATTAAATATAACAAATCTCCGACGTCATATATTCGTAAAAAAGAAAACAGCTGATCTAGATTAACAGTTCGCCACGAGATTCCGTCGAATTCAGTACGCACTCCGATAGCCTACTTAGAATTCTTATCGTCGATAGGAATCACTTAACTCCGTATCTACGCGATTAGCGTTATTTTGAGGAACTTTTACGATCAATTCGAGTCGTAGTACTTCAATCTCGATACGCTCAAGAGTCTATCGTCAATTTAGAGAAATTACTTTATATTTCGTACAATTAATGTCCCGATCGCGAAAACGAAATATTAGTTTCTCGACGGATGCTCTCACGGCCAAGAACCGACGCACTTCCAATACGTTTACGTTTAAGAGCAGGGGATCTTTAACGGATCGTTTCGTTCGTTCCTTCAAAAGTCATCAGATCCGTGATCGAGTCCGAATGGATCGCCGTGAACGATCGACATGACTCAGAATACCGAGATGTGTCAAACTGACGCGATCGCATCGGTTATAGAAAAATCCTCTTATTTTCGGCAGTTCGATCGTTCGATCTGTGACGGGCGTTAAAACGCAGATTCAGCAGATTCCCACATCCATCGCGCGACTCCAGTCCCAATTAGAAACGTATCCAAGTGCGTCTTCCGATTTCCGTCCAGCTTCCGGCGCGTTTCGACGCGCGAGAAGAACCGCCGCTCCGTCAGTTTCGCCGTGTCTTCGCATCTTCGCGTCTCGCCTCGGGTGTACGATCTCGAATGTGCGCGTCCTCGGAAGCCGGCTTTCTCTCGTTATCCTTCCGTTCCCAGGACTCGCCGATGGCCACGGCGACGTTACACGACACGGACGAGCGATCGCCGCATCGTGTGGCGGGCGCTCGCCGAGGAATTCGAGGATTCGTGCGCGAGGCGAGCAGCCTCGAGCCACTTTCTTCCTCGATCCGTGCCGAGGGAATCCTCGCCGATTCCCTTTCCTCCTTGTCCTCTTCTTCTTTCTCCTCTTCTTTTTCTTTCTCTTCCTCTCTATCTCTTCGGGGATGCCCTGTCGTCGAGAGAAACGGGGCGATCCGGAGACCGACGACGTTGGTCTCGCCGCGTGGTGACCACTTGTTGCTCTCCGATTCGGCCAACGACCGCGGAGGGACGTTTCGCCGAGCACGCCGCGGAAGGACGCTCGTGTGTCCTTGCGGTGGCGCGGACCCCCCTCAAGGATCCCCTCCCCCCAAGGACGATGCTCGCGCGAGTCGATGAAGGCGGCCCTCAAAAGGCCGATCGAGGAATTCAGCCGAAGCGAGAAGAATCGTCAGCGAATAATCGTTTTCCGGTTAATATTTTACATTTCAGGTGGAGCAATTCCCGGAGGATCTACGTCCCGACAAGATCCGGGATTGGCGTCCGGGAGGGACCTCGACGAGGTTTCAGCCGATCTTGGGACACCGACAAGGACGACGTACACCACACGACGGTGCATCGAGTACTGAATACACGAGCCGACAATCGTCCCCTCTCATAATTCCGAGTCTCCCCCCCCTCCTCTCTTGCCCCTCTTCGTCCCCTTCCTCTCTGTCCGGCCAAAGCTTTTCTTAGGCGGCCGCCTCGACAGGCTGTACGAAGGGCCAACGAGTTGTAAATGCAACCAGAGGTCGTACTTGGGCCGTCGTATTCGTCGGCCATTGAGGAATTCTCCTCGTCGCGAATTCCCTCGTGATCCGCGCGTCGCCTTTTAAAGAGACGTAATCGTGGACCACTTTGCAGAATAGACCGAAAGATTACGATAGACACACGTGGGGGGGAGGAGCGGAGGATGCTCAAATTTAATAACGCCAATTGGTGGCCCCGAATTGAATTACACGTGGTGGCTGACGCAAATCTTCATAGCGCGAAATGCTAATTTGCACATTCCTATTATATTTGGCGATGGTGTCTCGAACGGAATGTAATATGCTAATTTTAAGATATCCTTTTCCGAATATAGAATTCTTTTCTCTACCGAGAATTCGGCCGATATGACTTTGTCAGTGCGGCCTTTGAACATTCAAGGTTTATAATCGAGCATATATAACTTCGAATTCTTTTTCACGCTTAAGAAACATTTATATAATGTATAAATATTGACCTTGAAAAGTGTAAACTGACAATTTTCAATTTTTCAAAAACATTCTATTGTAAAAAACAAACTACTACGTTTTATTATAAAATCAGATTGTTCGGTTACCAAAGAACGATATGACAGTAAGATACTATGTCAAATTAAAGAAATAAGATTTAAGAAATATAGATATAAATGTAACCGAAATCATATAACTTCAATGTTACATGACGTTACGGAGGATTAATTCGATTTTTAAAATTTTCGAACTTTATGGTCAAGGAAACTTGTAATCTAACGAAGCCGACGTCTCAAATGAATGCAATCGTCATTTCCTTAAATTAATTACGAGTAATGTGTGTGCCACTCATGTATGTGACATCAGGAAAGAATCGAGCTGAGAACAGATCGCAGTAATCGCGGATTAGCGATCTTTGAATGGCAGCTACACGATTGCCCTTTGACGCACTTCGATCACTCGGAATTGGCGTTGATTTTCGATCAGAGGGAGAGAAAAGGAGAGAGAGGGAGGGAAGGAGGGAAGGAGGGAAGGAGGAGGGGGA